ACTACTACTACTACTACTACTACTACTACTACTACACGACGACGTACAACACACACACACACACACACACACACACACACACACACACACACACACACACACACACACACACACACACACACACACACACACACACACACACACACACACACATTCATATATACACGTACACATACAAACAGATGTTCTTGTCTCCTTCTCTAAATGGTACTGGTTTGGAATACTCCTATGTGACTCAGTTTTTGTGAGGATATTGACAAACCTGCTGGATCTTCTTGCTTAAACCACACTTTCATAACTCGTATCATATTGGTTGAGATGATAAGTCAAATATAAAAAAGTGGCAGATGTTTAGGTCCATCAGAGTAAAGGGGGTGATACTTATGAAATCAGAATTCCTCTATTATCCCACAATGGGGACATTTGCATTCCTACAACAGCACAAGTATAGAGCAGATAAAGTGAGGAGAATTGACCTAAATATTAAGTATGCACACTTTATTCATAATAATACACACTCAGTCAAAAAACAACACCCTATTGTAAATACATTGAGGATCAAATTAAGCGTGAATTGCACAAGGGTATATTTTAAAAAGTGTTATTTATATTTACAGGCAGTGTTGAATGATGTATTCTGAATGTCTGTACTGTGTGTGATGCCTCTCTTATGTAATTGTCAGAATCCAGACTACCATGGCTTCTCCCGGGACCCCGTGGTGGATGAGTGGAACATGAGAGTGGGCTTCTTCTTCGGCATCTCAGTGGCTCTTGTTATTGGAGGAGCATTCATCCACTATTTACCAGACCATGGGTAATGTTACACATGATAAAAGCTCACTCATTGTTTCTTAATTACTCATGCTGTTAAGATGTTTTGGTGGCCTTCAGTCCAAAGCCACCACCCAGCAGTCAAGCTGGGGATTATTGTTATGAATGTATAGAATTATTAAAGTTGTATTCTCTTGTGTTTGTGTGTGTAGCATGCGGGAGTGGGCCAGGAGGGAGGCGGAGCGTGTGGTCTTGCAGAGAGAGCAGGAGGGTGTTCCTCTGTTAAGCGAGTACTACTTCGACCCAGAAAAGATTGTTCTCCCCAGCTCTGGAGAGCAGTAGGATCAAACATCCTCCTCCTGTATTTCATGATTAATGTATTTCACTGAGAGAATAAATGATTCTGTATGTAACTGTTGAACTGTGTTATCATCATGTGTGAAAATTACTTCTTAAACAGCATTTAAATGTTTTGAAAAAATGAATGAGAGGTTAATCTTCAATGATTGGAACGTAAGTGCTTGCCATTGTCTCGGTGCTACAAGCCGTTTGTGGTCAGAACTAAAAATAGGTCTGAGGTTTGAAATCCAGCCTTTAATATAACTAACAAATTATTGAATTGATTGTTCAACATTGACTAGTTTGAAAATGATACAAAATACCTCCAGACCGTACCGTATTGAGGTAACCATCATCATCACAATGTTTCACAAATGTACCGGTACTTTGGATACGTTATATTTCCAAGTAATATTTGAATGGAAACACATTTTGATTACGTTCTCTTTAAAATTCATCTGATCAATAGCTTAATGAATTGCATTATTTAAGTTATACATATCTAGCCACTGAAACAACCTGTAATTATTATAATGGCGACCTTTAACCTATACTGCTCCAGCACAACAAAAAGCAGGGCACATTGATACAAAGAGTTGCACCTGGACACGAAATTCTTGGACACGTCTTATAATGATGTTTTCCAAGCATTTATAACCAAGACTAGATCCGAATTCATATCATCTATGCCCTTTACAGAGTTCCCTCGGTGAAACTGTTAGCAGTATTGTAGATTGTTCATGGGTGACATCGTTAATGTTGGTTTTTCAGTGAGTCTTTGAACGCAGCAGAGGTAAATTGCTACAGTGCGCATGCGCGCTGGACTGAAAGCGGAAATCTGGCGCCAAGCTCGAGCACAGCAGCTCATTGAAGTAAACGGTTGTTCCTGCTACTCCTCACTGCGGTTAAAGCAGGTCGAATTATCTGTAACTTTTTTCACACAGTTTAAAGGTGTTTGAAAGCTAACCCGGAGTACTGAGACTTGTGACTACGGGTTCTGCTGCTGCTGCTAGTAGACCATGACTTCACTCACTCTGAAAGGAGTGACAGTGAACTTCCCATTTGTTCCGTATGAATGTCAGAAGGACTACATGAGCAAAGTGATAGAGTGTCTTCAGGAGGTAATGAAAGAACTGTGATGGGAGATGTTTCTCAGCTGGACAGGAATCATCCATACATTCATGTACTGGTCATGTTGCAGTTAACAAAATGTCCTTCTTTCTCAATATGGAGAGAGCTTCTTCTGGTCCTCCGTATGGTTAGTGTGTCCGAATGTCTTTAATGCTGCTGCCTGTTCATCTGCACTGGCTGATCGTTAGCCACTGGTGGAAACTAAAGTAACATTGACTCAAGTACTGCACTAAAGTACCATTTGTACTTTACTTTAGTGTTTACAGTTGTTGATACTTTGTACTTCTACCCAACTACAATTCAAAGGTCAATGGTGTACTTTAACTCCACTACATGTATTTAATACCTTTAGTTACTTTACAGATATGGATGAATGATGTGAAATATAACCAGGTGTTAAATCAGACTTTAGTTCCACCTGGAGTAAATTCACAAGCTACCCTGCAGTATACAAAGTAATTCAAACTAGCTGCACCTTTACCAGCTTTGAGAACACTTTCATGATCAATCATTATAAAACATATCATATATATTATTCTGAAATGGACCAATCTGCACAATGAATACTTTTACTGTCGCTACTTTAACTATATTTTGATGAGAATACTTTTCTACTTTTACTTGGACATCTTGAATGCAGGACTTTTACTGAAACAGAGTATTCCTACACTCTGGTACTTCTACTTTTACTCAAGTACAAGATCTGAGTACTTCTACTTTTACTCAAGTACAAGATCTGAGTACTTCTACTTTTACTCAAGTACAAGTACTTCTCCCATCTCTGTCTTAACCCTTAATATAGTGTTACTCCTAAAAAGAATCCAATAATTCATACGCCGTATGCAAAGTTTGAGATTGCTGCCTGGTGGATTGACATGATGTTGCTGAAGTCAAATCGTCTGGTTTGTGAAACATCTCCATTGTTCAGACTCAGGTAACATCAGAGATAAAACCACACATGTTTCTCTCTCTCAGAAGGCCAATGGGGTTCTGGAGAGTCCGACAGGTACCGGTAAAACTCTTTGCCTGCTCTGTGCCACCCTGGCCTGGAGGGAGCGCTTCAAGGACACCATCTCTGCCCGCAAGATCACAGAGAGGCTGAAAGGAGAGGAGATGTTCGCCAACACCCCGCTGTCCTCCTGGGGGACGGCTGCCACAGACGGAGATACACCAAGTACGTTCAGATCATGGCACCATCACATCAAGTAGTTCAAGTGTTCCACTGCCTGTGCTCTTCTTTAATGATCTGAAATAAGAAAGCTTCATTTGTATAGCACTTTTCATACAGCAGGTGCAGCTCAGAGTGCTCTCACAACATGGCACACATCACAAACAGACACAAAACAAGAAATTAACTTCAGGTCAAACGTTAAAACCTTTTTGCACACATGCAGCATAAAAACATAATATTACAGTTCAAGGGACCCAAGGATGTAAAACATGTGATAAGAAAATGAAAATACAACAAATAATGATCCCTCTGTGAAATAAATGGAGAGATAAGACATCATTATTTAATACAATAAAATATTAAAACCTATAAAAGAATATACAAATAGTAAAAGAATAATGAAAAAAAAGAAATATCAAGATTAAAAGGCCAATTTAAGGTCGTTAATAAACCTATAAAATCAATTATTATTAACCTTATTAAAATAAATAATAAGAGTAATAAGGAATAAAAGACCACTTTAAAGCGGGTGTATAATCTAAATACATGTTTCTTCAGCTGTTGTTCAAATGTAATGGGACTTGATGTTAGTTATTGTACACTGCTCCCTAGACGCTGCGTAGACTCACTTTAAACCCGCCCACTCTAGCATGTTCCTAACGGGCACTGCTCTAGTTATAATCATTGAAATCTTATATGATACAAAAGGGTTGGGGAATATGATGAATGCTGAATACTCTCACCTGCTGCAGCTCATTCCATGTTACTGATGTAGAGATACAGCAACTGACATGACTCTGAAATATAATGGATTGTGTTTTTATTGTTTCTCAGCCTACTACACTGATGTTCCCAAGATCATTTACGCATCCAGGACACACTCTCAGCTGGCTCAAGTTATCAAGGAGTTAAAGAATACTTCCTACAAGTAAACTATTTCATTTGTCTACAGTAGTAGATGTTAGAAATATATTGTTTATGCATGATTAATGCAACATGTGTGGAATGCTTCTTTAGTCGGGGTCAGCTCACTTCAGAAACAACGTTTAGAGGGCAAATTAGGTTTTGGATAGGATTTTGATATTAAAGATAATATAATAATGTTGAATGGAGCATGATGCCTTAATATTGTTGCCCCAGACTTTTTACAGAGAGTCATTATTTGAAACATTCCTGAATGATAGCATAAGTCAGCAGATACAATGGGTACAGAAAGTGTTAAACAGGGCCTCATATTGCTGATAATCGGGAAACATGAAGGGGATATTTCATGCTGGTTATTTAAATAAGTTATTTGGCTTTTTTATCAAATAAGATTTGTTAGAAATGTTTTCAATTTTGGGAAAATTGGGCTAATTAACAAATGAATACCCTGTAATGTATTTGTACATATATTTACGAAGAACAATATGAGAAAAGTATAGGTTTCAGGTGTGGGTCATATTCCTTTATACTTTTAGAATTCGCTGAGAGCCAGTTTAAAAGGAACCCTAACACCACTACTGTAGTTATTTGGATGATCTACTATTATTTTAAACACATTTTAAATATGTGACAGTGACCTAAAGTGTCACTGCTCATACAGCTGAATGTTCATAGTACATATTTTTCTGATGTATACCACAGATGAGCTTCGTGTGTTCCATTCATCAATGTCACCATTATGTGTGTGTTTCTGCTGATTCAGGCCAAAGGTGTGTGTTCTGGGATCGAGAGAGCAGCTGTGTATCAACCCTGAAGTCATGAAACAGCAGAGTAACCATCTTAAGGTATGAAAACCATAACACCATGTTGTTAGATAACATTCAGATTGTCAGGGGCGTACCGTTAGTGCTGAGTCAGCTGAAGTGTCTGAAGGATGCAGGCACGACCCCAACTTGTCCCGGCTCCTTGTCGATATTTTCAAACTCATTCGTGTTAATTCTAAGCACCAACAGGACAATATCTTTCTCTTATCAAATCAGAAGGAAGCATCCTAAAAAAGTAACTGCTGGGTTAATGAGCTGATGCAGCAGTCCTTGAGTCCATGTTGCTAATATCTTAACAAAACCAAACCACTTCTACAGATTTCACTATACTTTTGCTTTGCTTTGTTTTTCAGGTCCATTCGTGCAGAGCCAAAGTTTCCACAAGATCATGTGTCTACTACAATAACGTGGAAGGTAATGTTCAATATTCATACTTGGTAGAGCAAGCTTACATGCAGTATAGATCAGTGACACAACAATGGAACCCTGCAAGCTGCTAATACAGGCTACATGCACTACACTTACTAGGAACCCCAACTGAAAGCAAGGTTTGAGTGGCGTGTAAGCATTCTGTCTTCCAATCCACACTGATTTGTCTTCTGTAGACGTCTTAAAGCCCCGGTCTCTGGGAAGCTGCATGCTAACGTGCCTTCACCAGAGGGACTGACAGCGGTCACTTACTGAGCCACAATAGGTTTCATGTTGGCTCCATGTCAAGATATCAACAGTATTAAACTTATCCATTCATTGATGTTATATCCCCAGCCGCAGCAGCAAGTGAGATATCCTGCCTGTAGAAGCATAAAACACTTGGTGAGCGCTGTCTCACATTTGTTTCACTCAGTGTGGATTGGTGCATTTGGTAGAGGTAAAGTGCGTCTGTGACTGATGCTTCTGGAAGCTACCAGTAGGTTGACCATAGTTTAAGCATTGTTACATCTGGCTGTTTTCCAGCTGTTCGCAAGCAGTGATGGGTTTATCATGGCAATTGCATAACACCTTTTTGTAAAAGGCAACTTTTATCCCCTTTTATAAAAGGCCTCCTTTTCTTTTCTTTTGCCTTTTAGAGAAGAGCACTGACAAAGAGTTGGTGAATTCAGTCCTCGACGTGGAAGACTTGGTCAAATTCGGCAACAAACAGAGGTGTGTCTCACACACTGCTCGTGTGTTTCGCTAATACACTTGTGCTTTATAAGGAGTCCAATCAAACAACATGGTTTTTAGTTGTTCTTGGATTGTAGGACAGCAACATATCATTTTGAAATATTATGAATTAGTCATCCGATATATTAGACCTTAAATAATTAGGAAATCAAGTATTGTAATTATTTTCATCTCTGTAAAAAGTTTAGAATCTTTGTAAAAACAGTTTAGCTTTGTTAACGCCTTACAGCTTTTTGATTTCTGATGCGTTCCGTGTTCTTTTATCTCCCCCTGTCCTGCTGAAAGTCCTCTGTTAGAAACAAATGCACACTTTCTCTCACAAATTCAGTTTAAAAATTTTTTTTTCTGAGGCAAATTATATCACTGGTTCAGGCGATGTGATGTGAAAGCCAGTCTCATATATGTTGTTTTATTTGTATTGGCTGTGGTTGCAGAGAGATAGAGCAGGTCGTCAATTTATTGGAAGGTCAGCAGTTGAATCCTCTTCCAGTCAGCCTTTCAGTGTCTTTGGACAACGTACTGAACCGTGCATTGCTTCCAGAAGGCACAGCCATCGTGTGGGAATAAGATAGATGATGCTGCCTTGTATGGCAGCTCTAACATCAACGTCTTGGTGTTGAGGACATTTTAGCATGGAATGTAAAAAAGTATTGTTGGTGGACTAGAAAGGCGCCATATAAACCCATGTCCATATTTGAAGAAACCAGGCAGTGACATCAACAATAAGTAAACACAGTTTTATGCTATCTATGGTCCCAGCTGCAGCCCAGTGTTTGCTTCTACACACACTGTTGAACGTTTTGAGAGGCCATGGAGGAGAGAACACAGAATAAAATTAAGCCCAAATGATTCACTTTTAAATACATGTTCAAAAAGTAGATTTGGGGTAACAGTCTTTGCTAGCTAGTTGTTATCAATAAGCTTAAAATAAAAGGACTCGATATAAAAGGTAATTTGAGAAGTTAAATGAAGAACATGTCTCCTTAATGTCATGTAGTGAATCAGCAGTAAGAGAGAGGATGACAGGATCCATCATAACATCTGAATCAGAAACACTGAATTATTTCTCCCTGCTTGGTAATATTTGAATTCACTCAGTGTTTAATTTAAATAATATTACTATTTTTAATGTTTTCAAGGGCGATTGAGTAAAGGCCCAGATACACCGGCCAGTCACCTGAGAAGTCGCCGACACCGACTGTTGCGTCGCAAATCATTTGTTTACCTCCCTCACTTCTCATGCACTGATTCGCTAGCTGAACAGCCAATCAGTGTTATCCCTTTGTCCGACTTCCGGTGGTGTTCCCGACGCCGATTGAATCGGCAAGAAAAGGCGTCAGGTCGGCAGAAAAGACCCGACGGTGCGGCGCACACCACTCCGAATAGGGCGTGCCCACGCTCATGTTCGGCCCGACTTCCATTTACTGCCGATTTCGGGCCGGTGTATCTGGGCCTTAACAGTGATATTGCTGATTCTGCTGAGTTATCATGTCCCCTGCAATGTAGACAAAGTCCCAGGTATTGCATGCAGTGTGTACATTTCAGTTGAACGTAGAATATGTTTGTGCAGGGTCTGCCCTTACTACCTCTCCCGGTCCCTGAAGCAGCAGGCAGACATTGTTTTCACGCCGTACAACTACCTGCTGGATCCAAAGGTGAGCGCTCACAGAACACACATCAGATGGCTGTAGATGGAGGGACAGAGATGACTTTGTGTCAATCATGTAATTATACAATTCTGAAGCAGGGCCTGAAATAATGGAACCCTTAGCCACATTGAGCCTTTAGTACTGAACATTAGCAAGGGTACCCTTTATATACCTGCTTCATACAAAACAGTTGTTGGGCAGAATATACCATATACCTTCTTTTCTATCTATTTAATCATCCTGTCATTTACTGCTTTGTCATAGTATTCAGTGAAATCATTGAAATGCTGGTGTTTTGTTCTCTCACTTTGTTCCACAGAGCCGCAGAGCGCACAACATCGAGCTGAACGGAGCGGTGGTCATCTTCGATGAAGCTCACAATGTGGTGAGACTCTTTCTCCACATTCAGTCGTTCTGAAGGGATGCGCTGTGTGTGTGCAGCCTGCTGTCAGAGCACCCCCGCCTGTTCAAGAGGCATGTCTGGCCCTGTATTTAAAACACTAGAACCCCGATCCCTCTCCAACATCTTATCTACTTGATAATAATTACCAATCAGTGTGTCAAGTTGTTTGTTTGGAAAAGTTACAAAATACTTGTGACTCTTCAATGTTTTCAGAAACTGTTAAACTCACAAGCACAGCTGCACATTCCCAGCCAGTCTACACCTCTAATTTAAAGGGGACCTATTATGCTATATTTATATATATTATTGTAGGGCCATACCTATACAAAACATGTCTCTGAAGTCTTTTGCTTAAAATACCAAACAGATAACCCATTGTAGCCATGCCTTATACCCCTCTATTCCAGCCCTGTTCCAAAAAGGCTGATTCTGTGACTGCAGCTTTAAATGGAACAGCTGCTGCTAGACACGCCCCTTTTAGCGCCACGCAGCTTTCCCCTGCTAAGAGAGTTTTCTACCGGTAAATCTCAGCTAAACGCTGCCGTGATTAAATACCATGTTCCATGTTTATGTTCCAAACCACTTCAAGCATTATTTCTGAAACAGTATGGAGCTCAAACGTTTCTCTCTCGCAGGGTTTACCGCAAGGACATTACGTTACACATATTCTCTCCAGTACAGCGTTAGCTCTGAGTGTTAGCATGCTTGCTAATGTAAACACATTATATTACTCCCAAAACACGCTGTGTTTCTGATACAGCACATAGCTTGACATGTTCTTTCTTAAGTGTTTACCGCTAGAACAGTGCCATTATATATAACAACTTTACTCTAAGTGCCTCCTGCAGACATCCTGCTGAATACACAGACACACAGCTGCGAGAGGGGATTCAGCTAGACGACTGTATATGGAGACGATAGGTTGGGACGTGTCACGTGTGCCACATTTGACCAATGACGTCCAAATCCTGGATCAGCTTGTTTGCACCCCCGTTTTCTGTGAGATGTGGGTAAGGAGGAAAAGAGAGAGGGATGTATTTTCTGAACCTTTATAAGTCTCCTTACACACCGGGGACACATATTTATTTATAAAAGACATCAAAAAGTGCATTTTGGTATATGGCACACCACTGTGGAAGTACACAACATAACCATCTGATGCTTTATTTTAAAACATAAAATATGTTTTGGTTTTATTTTACTGAGGGTTGCAGACTTGATCTAGGATGATGAACAACGTGGTCCTGCTGGAGGTCAGTCCCTGGGGCAGAGAGTCACCACATTGTGTCTGTGTTGCAGGAGAAGACGTGTGAAGAGTCCACATCCTTTGACCTGACTCCATATGATGTGGCCTCCGCCATCACTGCTGTGGACCGGCTGCTGGCGGAGCAGGCGAAAGAGGCCAGCCATGGAGACACTGTCAGTGACTTCAACATGGAGTCCCTCAACTCTGGTCCGTTTCATTTGTCCCACCCACTGAGGATGCACACTTTCAAATGTTAACAAATCCAGCCCTGCAGTACATGTACTTACAGAGGGGTGTCTTTTTGTTTCAGGTTTAAAATTGGAATTAGCTACCATTGCTAAAATTAAACGTAAGTTAAGTTACCACAATCATCTCATGCACTAGATTTGGCTATTAGTCAGTGCTGTGGGATTGTTACCAACGGTTTCTGTCTGCTCTGACAGAGATACTGCTGGATCTGGAAACCGTCATCGATTCCTATGATGTTCCAAATGAAGTAGGCATCACAAAACCTGGAATGTGAGTGAAGGTGTGAAAGGAGAGAGTAAGAATCAGCACTGTCTGTCAGTGGATCAGTCCTTTTGTGTTCTCCGTCTTCCAAAACAAAACCTGTTTACGGCTTAGATTCTCCGTCCTGATGGTGCAGCTTGCTGCTAACAGGTCATCAGTTATGATGTCAAATAGCACATGAAGTTAAAAATGCCATATTTTCAATCTCTTAACTAGAAAAAAAAGTCATTGTTATTATTACATTTGTATAAAATCTAGTGGTGTTAAGTAACTAAGTATATTTACTAAAATACTATACTTAAGTATAATTTGTTGCTACTTTGTACTTCTATTTCACCACAGTTCAGAGGTAAATGGTGTACTTTTTCATGTATTTAATACCTTTAGTTACTTTGCAGATCTGGATTAATGATGTGAAATATAATCAAGTCTTAAAGGGGATCTATCATGCTAAATGCACTTTTTGATGTCTTTTTCTACATCAACATGTGTCCCCGGTATGTCAGGGAACTCACGCAGCGTCAGAAAATACAACCCTCTCTCTTTTCCTGCGTACCCAAATCTCTTAAAACGGGGGGGTACAACAGAGCTGATTCAGATTTGCGTCCGATATAACATAATATCGGAAATGTGGACCCACAGCACTATCAGTTGCTATCAGAAACAATGCCTGACTGTTTTGGATGTAATATGGTCAGTGTTTACATTAGCATCGCTAACACTCAGAGCTAACCTGTACTGCACAGAGCATGTGTGTGAAGAAGCAGGAACTCACCTTGTGGTATAACCGGCAAGAGAGAAAGCCTTTATTATTATTTCAGCTCCATACTGTTTCAGAAATATCTAACAATCTAATCTAATCTAATCTAATCCTTGATCTAACAATCCTTGCGTTTCATCACCGCAGCATTTTAGACAGTATCTGCCAGGTCCCTCATGAGCCGCTATGGCTCCGCCCTCTCTTATTTATTTATTAGTTATTAGTTAAAAAAAAAAGAAACTTAATTTTTTTATTTAGCCTTCATTTATACAGGTGAAAATCTCATTGAGACATAGGGTCTCATTCTCAAGAGAGACCTGTGTATATCCAGAATCAGCACTTTTGGAACAGGAAGAGAAATAGAGGGATATGAGGCATGGCTAGAGTGGGTGATCTGTTTGGTTTTTTAAGCAAAACACTTCATAGACATGTTTTTTATATTTTTGTATATGTCTGAGACCTATGCTATTGCTTAAA